TGTTGCGTGGTGATCGCAGGACTGCAGCTTTGGTGTTTTTGACTGCCTGCGGGATTGGAGAAGTTTGTTGAGGGAGGTTGAGCTGCAGCAAGGGTTTGGAGTTGGATCCTCTCCCATTCGCTCCCGTCCCACCCCTCCATCGGGGCCGAGGCTTCTTGGCTTCTCACCTGGGGGCCGCTGTTTCTGCAGGGCGGCCCACTGTACAAGGTACGCCGTAATGCCCGGTTTGGAGATACAGGGGTCGAGCTCGCTGCATTATTCATCCCTTCAGAGCGCTGACAGCTTGTGCTTGTCTGACCACCCTGGTCATGAGGACAAATGAGAATCAAGATGTGAGTAGAGAAACAGCTGCGAGAATGTAATCGTAGACTTCGTTATCTATCAAGATACAGATGCATTTTAAACCCCTTGCTATGCTGGAAAGCAAACCCACACACTCATTAAGACAGAACATGGAAGAACATCGCCGACATGATGAACACCGGCACCCAGAAGACCAGGGCCCTGGACTGGGCGAGCAGCAGACCAGGCGCGGTTCCGTTGTGCAACATGACGACTTGGCCAAAATCGTGCGCTGAGTCGATACTGCAGACGACCTGGCACTGTCCATCTCCGTCGCGACGCGCCAGCTTACCCTGGGGTCCGTGAGCGTGCTGCGAATCGGCGGCACCGCGCTTTGTGACGGTTGTGGGAGAGTCGGTGGTGTTGAAGACCAACTCGAGCCATTGCACCTGCAAGACGGCCGAATTGCCGACTTCCATCACGCCAGACCACGAACCGCCGTCGCTCCAGGAGTTGATCATAACACGGCTGGGATCGCGGGGAACCTGGAACTTGATGGTGGAGACCTTGTGGCCGTCAACAAGCCAGACGCTCTGCTCTGAGTCCCAATCCAGGCGATGGATGGCCCAGTCGCGCCAAGAGACGGGCACCGTGCCGTTCTGGGTCGACTGGTCGATGGTGTTACCGCTGTCGTCAAACGAGGGCTGGTTCGTGTACTGGATCCTGTTGTCGGGGTCCTTGGTCAGGACCTCGATATCGGCCTCCTGCACGTCGGCGTACTTTTCGGCTTCGCGGTAGGTGAACAAGGCCGTGCAGGCACCTGGGTCGCCAATGGTGCGGGCAAACATGCGGACCGAGACGAAGTGGTAGCCCATCGAGACAGACTCCATCTCGGCGGAGGTCTGGAAGTCCTTGAGACGCGCGGTGCGGAAGCTCATGTAGGTGTCCGACTGGGGATTGGAGTCGGTGTTCTTCTCGATGTAGATGTTATTGGGAGAGTTGACCATGCTGATGGTGGCATCGTTGCCGCTCCTGCCCCTGTTGCCGCTGTTGTTCCAGCTCTGGATAGACCATATTGACGTCCATGCATCGGAGTTGAAGTAGTCTGATGTTACCGAGGCGTTGCCGCTGTCGTTGTAGCTGGTGATGATGTCAGGGACACCGGCGTACTGGCCGAGGTTGCGGAAGTCGTAGAACAGATGGTTGGTGAAGTAGCTCTCTGAGGTGTTGGTGAGGAAGCAGTTGCAGACATCATCCGCCACGACAGGGTGGTCGTCAGCCACAGCCAGAGGCAGGAGGGCGAGGGCCAAGCCCAAAATAGATGACCTCGTTGACGGCATGGTTGTGTTTGTCTGAGAGAGTGAGTGGCGTGCGGCTCTGTCGGGGACGGGATGAAAGAGAGAACGCGGGGATGGGATGATTTAAAAAGAAAAGGTGACAATCCATCGTTGTCTTGGCCTGGGATGGTGTTGTCGTAAACACATCCCCAAGCAACGGCGCACCGGAATGTGAGACGTGATCGTGCGTTGTTGTTGCCTCCAAATGTCATCGAGCCACTAGCTGGCCAGACCATCGCCCCGGCCGAACAAAAGCATAGCAGATCGAGTGACCAACAGGTAGAGAGCTACTGGGGATCGCGCGAGATCCCTACGAAAACGGCGTCGGGAGCTCCTTGGCTAGCGGCCACTTGGTCGCCATGATTTGAAAACGCTGCAGAGAGTTCAGGCTTAGCGTCAAGAGTGAGCTGTTGCAGCGGCCAGCGCGACTGGGCAATGGCGATCCCGTCGTACCCGTTAGGGACCGGGCGGGAGCTTAAAAGCGTCGGAGGGCAGAGGAATGAAGAAAATGAGCCTTGGCTAAGAGGAGGAGCAATTTGGCACACCAAGCCAACCTAAACGGCCGGATGCGGTGTTTGTTGCTCAGTCGCTCTCTTAGCGCCGTCTCGTGGAGCTTTCCGTGTCGCTCCAGACTCCTAGGCGGCGGGTAACAGGGACGACGGCGGCACGGGTGTCATTGAGCTATTTGTGGGTTGTAACGGGAGGCCTGCGGTGGCATTTGGAGGCTGTGCGAAAGGAGGTCATGACCGTGGACTGCAACGCTATCTCTGAAGGGCCGATGTCCTTGTTGTGATGAGAGATGGGAGAGACGTAAATGAGAGGATCTGACGCTGTTAGCTCGCGAGAGGTCAGTTGGCCATGTGGAGGTGGAGTGTTTTGTCCAATCAGGGGGGCGGTTGGCACCCCTGTCAACTCAGTTCACGACTTACACCAGCTGCAGGGCTTAGAGTAGACGGTGGTGATTTCCTGGGGACGAGGCAGACCGAGGTCTATATCCTAGGTATTTATCTACAATACGAACAAAATTTGAGTCTAGCGCTACTAACAAACAAGCTTCCTCGAATCGCGATCCGATTTGCTGTAGATGAGCACTGAAGGCCTCCGGATCCCAGAACAGTTTACTCCTTTATGGAGAAAATCACTTTTGAACTCCGAACTCCCAGTGGAATCGCTCCGTATTTTTCTATCCGCGGGGCATTGCTGCCGTCTACCATCTATGCCTCTTTGTTGTTTAAGCAGAGCTCTCAGAACCAGCCCCTTGGCTAGTTACAGTAACTGACCGTCACGAAGTCCTCGCCCAAAGTCTTTTGTGTTGTGCCCTCGCTGTATCCCAGCGTCGTTTCCTGTTTTCTTGTTGGCTGAGTGCCTTCTGCCTCTCCGCGAGAGGTAATGAAGCAATCTTTCTTGCTGTCAAAAGCCTTCTACGGCGTTCCCTCTTTCCTGCGTCAAAGTCGAACGCATCTTGGGATGTGACTGACAAGATGTTAGTCATATTCAAGCATAAATATCAGCTGATTGCTTACCGTCCCGTAGAAAATCTTCCTCCAACTTTTCTAAATCTTGGATTTCCTCTTCAACGAGACGGATGCCGCAGAGCAGAGTGAAATCTTCCACGGAATCTAGGTTGTTAAACAAATCGGCGTAAATGGAGAAGATATTCAAGTCAAAGAGATAGTCTTTGCTCAAGATGATGTCCGCAGGCAGATCATTCAGCACGTGGAAGTCGCACTCCACTGTACTCTCTCCAACAGTCCACATCGCGTTCTTGACAGTGCCATATGTCCATGTTCTCGTACCATCTGCAAGCTCAACTTCGCTTCGGTGGCTTTTCCCAGTTTTTATGGAAAGACCGTGCTGTAACGCATAATCCAAGGAAACCAGCATCAGATCGGATCCAGTATCTGCAAGTGCCGACGTTACACGGTTGTTGAATATCCCCGATAGACGCTGCTTCTCTTCGCCCATGAGTCTCAGCCGGAGCTTGGACGAAGTGAAGACTTTCTTGATGCGGTAAGTGAACGCCGTGAGAGTTTTTGACATGTTCAAGAACTTGCTTCCCAAGACAAAGTCTTGAGTGCAGCCTGGCAGAACCCAGCATTTCAACCTATGATGTTTTTGCTCATTCGCAAATTTCCAAAGCACCTCGACCATCCCTGGTGATTGAACTGTCTTTTTGTTTGCGAGAGTTATGGTTCTTTTGGTGTCAGGTACCAGGTTCCGGCGTAATTTGGACGCAAATTGGGCTGATATGATGCATTCATCTGAGCCGGTGTCTGGCGACGCTTCTGTGCGTACGCCGTCGACACTCCCCTCGACCACAAAGTCCGTTGTTCCCGATGTGTATTGACTCTTGTCCCAGGGAGATCCATTTGAGTTACCTGCGCGTGTTTTCTGTTAGCCTTTGCATGGAGGCACATTCAGGGAGTAGCAGACTTAGGCCCAGCCGTCGCCATGCCGTTGGAAAACCCTTCAACTTGAGTTTTCCGGTATCGTCGGTATCAAAGTAGAAACCATCAGTTGTAGCTTTGCGGTACTCTTTCAGACCTTCAAGCAATGCTATAAGTGTTTCGGCAACTTGAGCCATAGAGCGTAAAACAGACAACGGACCGCTCGGAGATGGTTCCGAAGGGGATGGTCTGTTGGAAGACGTGTGCTCAGGAAGAAGTTCTTTCATATCTCCCAATTCCCGATGAGATCCATCGTCTTTCTCCGTGTTGGGTCCTTTTATCGCAAAATGCGTAGGATCCCGAAGGGAGGGGCACAAGGATCCGAGATTGTTTGGCGGCCGAAAGTCACCTCTTGCGATTGAAGCTTCCACGTTGTTGGACTACACAAGTCGTTGTTGTCCGTTTTCGGAGGTAGGAAATTTGGGAGCATACTAGTAGTGTATTCAGACCCAAGTTTGAGGACGAAGGCCAGTAGTTATCAATTTTTCCTCTCGTATTATACCAATATCCTACATGCAGCCCTGGCAGACGCACTGCGGCCCAACACTCACTAATCTCCAATGAAACCGTTTGGAGGAGCCTGCCGAGACATCACAGCCCCGGATTATGCCCTTTCGAATGCCACGTCAGCGAGGAGCAATACGACTCTTATACCTCATTGGCAGCTCAGCCTCTTTCAATGCAGAGCTCAAGCCGACAACTCCGCCTCGAATAAGCTCCGAGTCATAAGCGGCTACCCTCCAGAACTCGGTTGTTGCCTTTGAAGACCCATGTCGACCCCCATATGCGTACAGATCTCTGTCGGTGAAGCCTCAGTGCACTGGAAAGTGAAGGGGACTTCGGAGCTCATGCTACCATTGTTTCAATGATCTTTGTTCTATGTTCCTACGAGAAAATCCCATCCGCCGAAGTTTCGAAGCGTAAAGCAAACGGGATGGCGACCCACAAGATAGGATATGCCGAAGCCGCGAACTGGATGGCACGGGATGTCGACAACGAGACATTGATCTACCGAAGATTTGATGAGCTAGCAGCCCGTAATTTGCTACATCTCCAGTCGGAATTATTGAGCCTTGAATATGAGCTGAATGAGCTTGACAAGCAAGATGCCGAAGACGAAGACATGGACTGGCAGATGGTAGTGTGCGATTGGGAGCTGCTGGATGATCTCGCGCAGTCACGGACCACAGGTACAGGAGATGAGATTCAAGTATCAAAGGCAAAGGCTCGCGCAGAATTAGCCGCAAAATTGCGCCATAAATTGGAAGAATATTGTATGTCGATGCCGTCAAGCACTGCTCGATCCCACGATAATTGTGCTCACACTCCGCTAGATGAAACCTTACTTCGCCAAAGTGAAATCGCTAAATTAGACAGACCAAAAAAGCGAGTTTTAGAAGCCTTCAAAGCATGGTTCACGGGAGTAAGTGAACTCAGCGGGAGGGAAAGGGACATCCTTGACAATGCAAAAGATTTGGTTGCTCTGAATCCGGCCCAAGAGACGGACTTTTTATCAGAGTACTTGAGGAGAAACTGGCCCTTAAAGGTGAGTGCGAGCGGAAGGAAGAGGGAATGGCCTGCTAAGCTTCTGCTAGACAGACACCAAACAAAACGGAGTGCAAATAGGAAGATACGAAGAGCGTTCTATATCCATCGCAGTCGCGGTCATCAGCACCCTCATCGCAGCTATCCTCCTGATAGGATCGATAACAGGACTGTACTTCGCCAAAAACGACACCGCAAAGCTTGGTCTCATCGCTTTCTTCACGGCCCTGTTTGCTCTCAGCGTTGGGCTAACGACGAACGCGCGGAGGGCAGAGATATTTGCCGGAACGGCAGCGTAAGTCAAGCCTCGTCACCACTTGAGAGATATCAAGCTAATGTACCTTTAGATACGCCGCGGTGTTAGTAGTTTTCGTGAGTGGTGACCTCTCGAGCTCGCAAGGGTCATAAAAGGGGCGAATTTTCGGCCTGCCTCGAAGCCAGGCGAAACAAAAAGGCGGATAATGTCAACGAATCAAAAAGATTTCCCACTACGAGATTCGAACTCGTGTCCCCGCGGTGAAAGCGCGATATGCTAAACCTCTGCACCAAATGGGAGGTTCTATTCACTGTTGGAAGGAACAGGAGCGACGGCAGCCATGGAGCTCGGCGGGACGTGCAATCAGGCCAGAGAGGTTGCGGTGAATTCGTTTTCATTCGTTTGCTTTCTGTCATGGATGCCTAGCCTGGCTGCACTTGCCCGAGACACCCTCACGTAACCCCCACGGTGAATTCCTCCAGTAGCGTCAACTCATTGAATTCCTCAATGAGCCTGTCCACCCTCGCCGCTTCCCGATCCCTCACGGCGAGATTGAGATCAGTGACGAACAACCCTGTCGGAGCTACCGACTGCCCGCTGCTCCTCTGGCTGTCCGTCGCTCGAAACTCTTGCCATATCGCATACCCCTCCGCGGCATTCAGCGTCCCCTTCTTGACTGCCATGCCCAGCAGACCCTGCGCAATCACACCGGCGACGGCGAAGGAACGGTAGAGACCCAGATAAGCATAGATGCATTTGAAAAAGTAGTGTCGTCCCTCGGGATCGCTTGCGTCGTTTGCCGCGGCGTTTGCCACGTGCATGAGGGCTATGTGCCAGAAGATGGAGTAGGTCCTTTGAGGTAATGTCATGTAGGTGTCCACCAGGCTTTTAAGCTGCTCGAGGGAAGCAGCAAATATGGACGGTACAGCTGGCGCAGACGGCGACCACGAGTTGATTGTGTGTTGCTGTTCGGTGGGGATGAACGGCCGGAAGAGGTAGAGGATCGTGCCGTGGAAGAGCATACTACAGACGGTGAGTCTTCGCTACGTGCGGCTTCAGCTACGGGGTGACGTACTGGCAAACGAGCACATGGCCAGGGCTGTGCTCATTACGGGTTACACCTTCGGGCAGGTTGGCTGCCCATGACAGCAGTTTTTGGTATTTCTGCAGGGCGAACCCCTTGGCGGCCTTCCCAGGGCCAGTATCATGCTGATAGTACCACGTTAATCGGGATGAGATGACCCATAGCTCGCATAACGCTGCAAACGTCGCTGCCCCTCGTGGTGGTTCGCTTCTTTTCCTACGAGAACCAGAGTCGGGAGGACTCTCGCTTCTGGTACCAGCATGTACGATTGGGTCCTTTCCAGGTATTGGAAGAGCTGGCGGATACTCGGTAGTAGCTGGCAGATAGAATTGTGACGCCATGCTATTCCCACTATTAGGGAACACTCTCGTCGCAAGGGTGGTCTTCTCCGAGACTCACCTCAGATTGCTGAAGACCCCCCAGGCGACCTGTGCTTTCGCCCTTGCGTCTTCCTCGGAGAGTTTGCCGAGGTCTTCGGTGGTGCAGGAATCAGGAGTGCCGAAGAGCTTCATGCGTTTTGCCATGGCTGCCGTGTCTTTGATGTACTGAACGTCGAGCTCGCCGTCGCCATTGCAGCCCACAGACTGAATGAGGAAAGCCAGGGCGGCAACAGTCGTCAGGGAGTCTTCTCGATCTGCGCGCCATAACCTGTCTGCTTCTGCCTGGAATTCGTGACTCCAACCAGAGGCGGCAGGGTCGTATGCCGCATACGCTTGCTACTCAGGAGTTAGCTGTGGTTAGACTGGAAAGGTTGCCAAGACTAACGCAAGCAAAGGCGAGAAGGGCGCTGACGAGCAGCGGAGAGCAGAACTGGTATTCGTAGTGGGTGAGATCATGCACAAACAGTTCGGTGTCAAATAAGCCTAGGATGGCATGGTCCGTCTCAAGGTAAAGTGAGATGACATTCGCAGCAACATCGCTTGGTATGGACACGGCCGTCCAGTGTGTGATGTCGAGATCTTTCAGGCGCGAGTCGGTCTGAATTGGGGGAGGGGGGATAGACTCAACCGAGAAGACGCTGGACGTGCTCGACGGAAGGACCACGGACTCGTTGGAGGTTTCTCCCGATGAAGAACCGGCCACGGACACGTTGCTGAATACCGTGCTCGGTTCAGGCGATGACGAGGCCGAATCAGATGCTTCAGTGATCCGACGCATTTTGGACGGTCTGGAGTCTGTGCTCTCCGGACTGGAGAATCGAGGGGCGTTTCCTGAAATAGGGTACGCAGTCGGATAGTCTCTCATGAGTTCAAACTCGACATTGGTGTGCAGCTGAGGCAGAAAGCGTCGAGGATCAAGGCCTGACGGGGTGATGGAGCGGAGAGGAGCGTTTGGGTCGACTGCGAACTTGAATTCCTTCACAGTCCTCGCCATGGCCTCTGGTGACATGTAACTAAGCTGGGCCAACATTGACTCGAGAGCCTGGTTTTTGCGCTTCTGGACCTCATTCTCGCGCTTGTTAGCTTCGTTCTCGGCTTTGAGAGCCTGGTTCTCGCGCTTGAGAGCCATTGCGGGCGTCTCCTTTTCGTCTACACTGACATAGGCGCATGCCACGTTCAGCTCGACACATGATGAACACGCAGGTCTCTTGCCATCGCACTAAAGGTAGATCTGTTAGTTGACTTAAAGAGGAAGACTACGGGGCGGCCCGGTGCTTACAGCCTTTTTCTTGGCACGACAGGCATTGCATGCAACTTTTGTCGCTGTGGCACGTTTTCGAGAGGGGGCAGGCGGTGGACGTGATAGAGCTGGGAGGGGGGTTTTTGGGGCAGGAAGCAATCGACGGAGACTCTGGTCAGGCATGACTCCGACTGGGTTTGCATCGATGCCCTCGGCTGGATCAGGGAGTTGCTGCTTCAACAGCAGTGCTCGTACGACTTGGGAAGGGGTTCACGATGGAGCGAATTCGCCCAAGGTACCAGAACGGGCTTCAGTCGTCGTGATGGGGAAAAGAGGGGTATTTGGCATGAGGGGAGGCAGCATAATAACCGAGGGGGCGAGCAGAAACAAAGAGCACACGATCGTCCGTATACCGCGCAGGATGGAACCCGTCTCGATGAGTTCCAGCTGACGCAGACATTGGCTGGGACGATCCAACGACGGCGAGGATTTGCGGCTCCCCGCGCAAGATCATCAGCGGTGGTGCGGACGATGCGGCGGACGAGGCGGGTGATGGCGGAGATGAAGGGCGGGCAGAAAGAAGACGGTGAGACCAAGAGGGCGGCAGAGGCTCAACGGTTTGGGAGGGAGTGAGACGTTGGCGTAGGAGAGATAACAGCAAGTCAATCGTCAAACAGAGAGGACGGCAACCATCGAGAGGAAGGAAAGGCAGAGGGAGAGGCAGAAGAAAGCTCTGTTCAGCTGGCTGGGTGCAGTGTGAGTGTGGTAGTAGTAGTAGTAGGGCAAACCAGAGTGACAGAGACAGACAGACAGACGAAGGAGAGAATCCGATCCGTCCCTGGAAAAGACCGGACGTAGCTCCGTCGACTTCCATCAGGTTCCGACCAGTGAGTGTGATTTTAATCTGCCCACCTCTGTCGTGCCCTCTTTCGAGTCTTGCATTGCCTGCCGTGTACCAATGGAAGGCATGCGGGCAGCAACAGCAACAGGCCAGGCCGTACAGTGTTGCAGTCTGCCTCTACATTACCAGGTAGGCGGGCTCTGCGGGCAGCAAATCCATCAGACTCAACCCGACTCCAACTGCCCATCCCACTCCCGCCCGCCTTCCCTCGTCCACTTTCCGTAAGGTATTGCCACCAGCCAGAGAGAGGTCTAGGTCTGGGTCTGGCCAGCAGAGTGCGTGCCTGCAGCAGCTGTGCGGTCCATCGTCACTTTTGGACTAGGTTCTGACAAGAAAAGGGCACTGGCCCCACACGGTGCCACTAGATTCGCTGCGTCGGTCTCGGCACAGTGCGCACAGACAGTGCCAAAAGTGGTGCTGTGGTGGCCGTGTGCCCCCTAACCCTGGCCATCCCTCACCTGGAGCCTTCCGGGCAGGTTGAGTGCCCTGGCTGGCTGGCCTGGAGGGGGCCTTGGGCCTTGGGCCTTCCCCTGTCCGTCCACCCAGCCCGCCGTCAGTTCACAGGATTGCAACTGCGGAACCCCATGCGGCCCATCACCGGCGCGGCGTCTTCCTTGTATCCAAATTTCAGGTGATGCACTCATCCGAGCACTGGGTCTGCGCGACCTGCCAACCAACCTCAATCTCTGCCTTGTCTTCTCCCACCACCCCCAGCACGCGCGCGCACTCTCCGATTCCGTTCGTCGACCTCTTCACCACTAAGCTATGAGGGCCCAGCCAGGTCGACAGACTCTTGTTACTCGGTGACAGACAACTGACTTACTTCGCGACGCACCATCGAATTAAACCCTGCATTCCATCCCTTTGAAACCATGGCGTCAGAGTCGCCGCGACCCGCCTCCCCGCGCGAGGCTGATCCCGAGCAGAGCACGCCCGCGGATGCCCCGGCCGACGACAAACGAAGCTCCTCTGTATCGCCAGACGACTCTCGCGACGGCGCCGACGACGACAAGGCTGCCGCCAGCTCCCCAGAGTCTGGCGAGGCCAGCGAGGGCGCGTCCCCCGACGACAACGCCCCTGCCGGCGACGACGATGCGCCGCCTCTTCCCAACGAAGCCCCGCCGCTGCCCTCAGGGCCGCCTCCTGCCGCCGAAGACGACGGCTGGGATTTCCAGTGGGATCCCACCTCCAACGCGTACTTCTTCTTCAACCGCTTCACGGGCAAGACGCAGTGGGAGAACCCGCGCGTGCAAACCGGCGCCGCCGCGGCCTCCTCCTCAACCGACACGGGAGCAGCTCCCGGCACCACCGCGACCGCCGCGCCTCTTCCATCAGGCCCTCCCCCCCTACCGGCAAACGACCGACCCGCCGCAGGCGGCTACAATCCCGCCATCCACGGCGACTACGACCCGAACGCGTGGTACGCGCAGGGAGACAAGGCGAACGAGGACGAGGCACGGCAGACCGCCGCGCTCGCGGAACAAAACTACGGCGCAATGGCACAGTTCAACCGCTTCACCGGACAGTTCCAGGCGGCGGGCGACGGGCCGGACCGGCACTCGGACGAGGCCAAGAGCAGACGGCAGATGAACGCCTTCTTCGACGTCGACGCCGCGGCCAATTCCCACGACGGACGCAGTCTCAAGGCCGAGCGCAGCGGCAAAAAGCCTACGAAGCAGGAGCTCAAGCAGTTCAAGGAGAAGCGACGCGCCAGGAAGGAGGAGAAGCGCAGGGCGTGGCTGCGGGATTGAACGAGACGACGCGCAACGGGGGTTACTGTTTCTACGGTCTTTGGTTTGCAAATTTGCTTTTGAAAAATATCTTGGCTCACACATGGAACGGGGGTTTGGTGGAGAACCTCTTCACTGGGCGGCGTTGCGAGAGGCTATCGACGGGATTGCCTTGGGATTTGCATTTCTACACTCTACGCCCGTTTCTCACGCGGGATACGCTTTACATACTTCGAGAATAGTCAACGGCCTCGTGGCCCTGGATACTGCGATTTCACAGTGTCGTGTAAACAGAATACAGCTTAGACCATGGAGTCGCGAGCTCGCACATTTTTTCCTCAAATTATATACCCTGGCTTCACAAGTTGAAATGCTGGAATATTCCTCGGGGGTATCATGCCCATCTGCACTTGAAATGACACGAAATAAAAAAGATGATCTGGCCTACTCTTCATCCTCCTCCTCATCGTCATCTAAATCCATGTTCAAGTGGACACTCTCGTCGTCACTGTCGTCGTCACCCGCCTCATCGGGCTTAGCAGCCGGCTCGGGCACGACGGCCCGCTCCACCTTCCTCTCAACGCTCTGCCTCTTGGGCGGGCTAGCGTCGCTGTCGTTGAGCTTGCGCTTCTGCGCGGACGACACCGCGAAAGGGTTCGCGACCTCCGCCGGCGCGGCGTTGGCACCCTTGGACGTCTTGAACGGGTTGCTGTCGTCGTCGGCGGCGGCGACGACAATGGTCCCGGCAGCCGCGGACGCGTCCTTCATCTCCTCGTCCTGCGCGACTTCGATCTCGGAGACGATCTCCTCCTCGCCGTCCTTGGCGGCTTCCTCGGCCTCGAGCTCCGCGAGCGTCGCCGTCGCGTTGGCGCCGAAGTCGTCGGCGGGCGTCGGCGTCTGCGTCGAGATGCGGATGTTGGAGCGCAGGATCTCGACGCCCTTGTCGTTGGGGTACTGCTGCGAGAGGTAGGGGAGGATGCTGGGGTACATGGCGCCGGCCTGGTTGACGTAGGGGTTCAGGACGCTGGCGAGCATGGCGTCCTTGTTGCGGGAGAGGATGGCGGTCTGGTCGAGGAGGCCGCGCAGGCCGGGCTTGAGGTGCTGTTGGGGCAGGTGGGAAAGGAGGCTGGTGAGGAGGGTCTCGGCAGCGGCCAGATGGTCCTTGGACAGGCTAGGTTTTGAGGACGACTGGGCATCCGACGTTTGCGAGGGGAGGAAGAGGTCCGCGTTTGCCGCGATGCCGTTCTTCTTGGTGTCTGCTCCGTTCTTGGTAGCCGCCTTGGTCTCCTTGACGTAGCCTGTCTCCTGCTGGATGTCACGGCAGCAGGCGAGGATGATGACTCCGAGAGTCTCGACGGTGAGCTTCTGCAGGCCGGGACCGCAGACGGGGAGGGTCTCGTTGAGGAGCTTGTAGGCGGCGAAGCGCACCGAGGGGATGTTGATGCCAGATTTGAAGACGAGGAGGAGGTTGTCATAGATTTCCGGAGCAAGGGGAAGGGAGTTGTTCTCGAGTCTTTGGACCAGAACCAACAACAGATCGAGCGCAGCAACGTGAATGTCCGGCATCACGGCCCAGAGCTCCTCCTTCTCTTCTCTACCAACAGCGGCCTGCGTTTCGAGGGCCTGGTCCCAGGATTGCGACTTGGAATTGCGGCTGATCAACGAGACTCGGGAGATCACGTCCAACAAGGCACCGACGGGTACGGTGACGGATGCTTTCGTAGTGTAGCGAAGGGAATCTGTGAGGTACTCGAGGAGACCGACAAGTCTATCGCGGCCCGCCGAAATTCCAGTCCAAGGGGGCAGCTGGGCTGCTCCTTCGGCTCCGGCCGGGGGTGCGTCAAAGTCAACCTTGGAGCGGGTATAAGGAGCAGATGATTCCCAAGACTCCTGCACCGCGCGGAAAACCTGGTCGGCGCTGGAATGGAAGTCCTTTCTCAGCTCCTCGACTAGCTTGTTCCAGTCATCAGTAGGTCCCGTCTTGCCGGCGGTGGTGAAATGGAGCGAAAGCGCCAGATGTCTGCTGGCGCGGCGGAGAGGCTGGGGGATCGTGATCCCATCCGAGGAAGTTGGCGCCAGGTAAGGCCGGATGGCAGTCCTGGTCTGGCCGTTGAAAGGGCGTGACGTGGTCGGGTACAGAGGGATGAGAGTTGAGAACGCATCCAGGATGGTCTCAACAACAACGAGAGGCGTCTTGAGGCGCTGGCCAGCTGGCGGGAGCTTGATCAGCTGCAAGCATGCGTTAAAGAAGGTTGGGATGGTGGGTGTTGCGATTTCTCTGGTGAGGGTCTGGTAGTCGTGGATGAGGGAGTATATCCTGACGAGAGTGACAATCGCAACCTCCTTTACTGGGAAGGGGTCGTTCTTCTGTGAACTGTCAGCGATTGAACCTACGGACATGCAACTCTACTAACCTGTATCATAGCCAAGAGGCTGCGAACCCAAGGACCAGACTCCTTGAGACACTCCCATCCGCCGACATCGACGACCGCCTTGACGAGAGTTGCGCCAGTGAAGCGTCCCATGGCGCTCTTGCCATTGAGAAGAGTCGTGATGATGGTCCTCAACTTGTGGACCAGAGACGCCGTCTCGGATGAGGCGGCGTCTTTGGACTTTTGGTCTTGGGGCGCAGAGAGAACATCTTTGCAGCGGAGGACGTGGTTGATGAAGGCCGGGATCGAATGAGGCAACTGGGCAGGTGGTGTTGATGTCAAGCGGCGGCAGAGCACCTTCAGATCGGGGGGGAGAGACATTGTGACTAAACCTCGGACACTGGAAAAAATAAAATGACCCAATTGAGTCTCCAAGACAGTATTCGAGGCCTGCCGACTCGATAAATGTTGAGCGCTGTCTTCGTTTCACAGGCTGTTGATGCTGAATGAAACTTTTTTTCCTGTAAGTGAAAAAGGTACATTTCACATGTACCGTCGACTCCACTGTTGCTGTCGTCTGATTGGACGCATGAGACCCCCTGGTCTGTTATGTAAGGGGCATAACGAGCACAAAGATACAATAGTACAAAGAGGCCTTTCACAGGCACTGACAGGATCCCCTGATCTTCACCCGTTTACTGGCCCGTGCTCCCTCCAGGGACCTCGCAGTCCTTGGAGGTCCAGCCCATCTCACCGTCATTTTTAGTGCAGCGAGTGGCAGCAGCAGCAGCAGCACTACAAGCGTGTCATATCGCGTTCGCTCCCAATCACTTGTGCAACGTGCTTTCTCCTAATTAAGCCATTTCTCGGCTCCTAAACATCGCCAACCACCGCCGGCCCCCCTGCTATCTTCAACAAAACATGCTGTATGCCCAGATGCCGTGCTAGTAGAATTGGTTCTCATCTTCCCCCAAATATTGGCACTGGCCGAGGCATCGCAAAATGGCTGTGAGTGTGCTTTTCCCAGGGGCTGTGGACAGACCGCCCATCCCATGCCCCAACCCATGACGTCGAAGCTGTGTGTGCTGGACATTTTGTACTGACCACATGTTTGTCTTTGTTCGTTGCAGCCCGACCCGAACAAGGCCGCCCACTACATCAAGGCTCTCGACGATGCGAGATGCGACGGCAATTGGAGCGCTGTTCCCGAGTTCGTCCGCAAGATCAGGAAACATGCGCCTGACCGAACCTGTCGGTGCCCTCGAACGAAACCTGCATACGCGGCCCCGTCCACCCTACTGACTTCGAATCCCTTACAGGTCTGACCTTGGCCGCCGAAACCGAATGCGCAATTGCAAAAGCGACCGATCCCTCAGGCGCGGGCCGACCAGCAACTGCCGTATCCGCGAAGGACCTCGATGCTGCGAATGTCATCACGAAGCTCGAAGCGGCCGTCGACGGAGAGTCACGGTTCCCAGAGGACAGGTTCCAGGCTCAGGTCTGCGCTGGCTTGCTGCATTGGGTGGTTGGCGAGTTCGATCAGGCTGCCGCGAAGCTGCCATCGAACCTCGAGCAGGAGCTTGCGCAGCTCAGCTCTACCGATACGCTCTCCGAATGGACCAACATCAGCGCATTGAAGGCTGCTTTCATCAAGGCCAACTGCCTGTCTCGAAACAATGAGACCGCTGAGGCCCTGGTCGTTTTTGACTCTGCGCTGCCATCCGTTTCCGCGCCTTCGGCAACCCGCAACGCCCACAAGCAATTCAGAGTATGGTCGGAGCTCTTCCTGACGGAATACTGTGTGCTGCACAGCCTAGCTCTGCGCTCAAACGAGAGGTCGCTGGAGGATCCGAACTCACTCGCCTGCTTCCGATCATGGGCCAGATACTGGGAGTCGATGACGGGACCTGTCACAGGAGGGTATGGATATAGGGGTTCCGTGCCAAGGCGACAGGTGTGGTTAGAATACTACCTGGCTCTCACGAATATTCTCGAGCTAGATCTGCCCTTCCCGACAGGGTTCCTCGGCAAGATCACCAAAGAATCCTCAGCACGGAACCAGATGAGAATCGAGCTTAAGAAGACTGAAGCGGCATACCAAGCGCTCCTGATTGGCGAAACCACCTTCCCTAAAGCCGATGAAACCAGGGAAGAGGTTGAATCATTCGTAAGGACTGTCGTCAGCAACTGGTCTATCCTTTGCGGCCGCGGTTGGAAAGAACAGGACCTTGGTCAAGGAGGACGCGAGAGCCTCAGCAGAGGTGTTCTCGATACTCTCTACGACTGCGCAACCAAGACGTACCACTCCACTGCCATCCTTCGCTGTCTGTTTACGGTTCATCTTGCGGTGGCCGAGTTTGATCTCGCTTTCAAGGCCTTCGACTCATACCTGGATCTGGTTAAGCACGGCAAGGCCAGAGTCGACAAAACGGGCCACCTCGAGGCCAATCTCGACGATGACGGGACGGTGCTCGAGACGATGTCGCAATGCATTCTGGCTTTGTGTCGCTACGGTGGGAAAGACGCCGTCGAGAAGGCTCGTGACATTGGCAATGTGCTCGAGGACTGGTTGTTCAGACTGCCGCAACTGAAGAATGGTGTCGAGAACGAGAACAGTGTCCCGGAAGAGGATGAGACGACTACCATTCACCCCAAGATCCGCCCCCACCTGATTGCGCTGTCGTGGCAAGCCATTGGTCTCTCGCAGGCCCACTGGTCGAGAATCACACACGACGCAGCGTCACGAACCGAGATTCAGACAAAGGCAATCAGGTGTCTGAGAAAGTCGCTTTCCCCAGAGCTGGGCCGCACTAGAGATGTCCGCAGCCTCTTCGCCCTGGGTCTTTTGTTGGCTGAGCGGCGGGAACTTACCCCCGCAATCGACATTGTGAAGACAGCTCTGATATCCAACAAGTCTGCGGACGAAGAGCATAGCCTCTATCACGGCCCCTTCTGGCAGGAGCGCTCTCTAGTTCCCCTTTGGCATCTCTTGGCCCTCCTTCTGAGTGCGAGACAAGAATATAACATGGCTGCCAAGGCCTGCGAGGGCGCTTTTGAGCAGTTCCGTGACCCCTCTGTCCTATTCGGACGGCAGGATCTCCACTTCAAGAGTGAGCATCTGAATGATGCCGAGGCTCAGGACGAGAAGATTGCCAACGAACGTAAAGGGGTCGTGGACGACATGGACGACACGGAGAGAGAGAGCATTCTCGAGGTCAAGATGACGCAGCTCGCACTGGTTGAGCTTCTTGAGGGTCCCGATGTGGCTGTTAACGCAAGCTCCGAATTGTTGTCGCTGTTCAACCGGCTTTTCGGAAGCCTCGAAGCCAAATCTACAGCGCAACCGCCCAAGACGGGGGCCACCATGCTCCCACCAAAGAGCTCGGCAGGCACGTTGAGGAGTCTGAAGGGCAGCATCTTTGGTTCGCAGCGAACGAGGAGGGCAAGCATAGCGGAGACTGAGAGGACAGCGCGCCCAATGACTACTCAGACCTCTGCAAGTATCGCGCCGACCATCCAGGTCACTCAGGAGAACGGATCGCCAAACGAAAAGCGATCGCGCAGACTTTCTAGCGTCACCCGCCGGGCAAGAAGCGAGTCTGGCAAGAGGCACAGTCTTCGCAAGCGTGATAGCAGCGGCGGCCGCAAGAGGACATCAAGTGTTAGTAGCGCAGGCACGAACCCTCACGCGCCAACTGTTCTCGATGGCGAGGTGTATTTCACCCCCGCGGACGAGCTGCAACAAAGCGAGTTTCCGCTTGGAAACCGTCAGGCCTCCACGGCATCAACCATCTCTCGGGGCCGGTCACTCCATCACCTTGAGTCTTATACTTCTCAGAAGTCACGGTCTACCAACTTTTCCGAAATCTCTGCCAGTGCTACATATACCATCTCGAACCCCTTGCCATTAATACACTTTCCTCAGGACCTGGAGCGGAGACAACGGGCTGCTCTGCTGGTCAAGGTGTGGTTGATGATTGCGGGTTTCTATCGCCGGGCGGGCATGTTTGAGGACAGCAAGGGCGCCATCTCGGAAGCCCAGAAGCTCGTCGGCATCCTCGAAGCCGAGGTTGCCAAAGATCCTACCGGCGCTTTGTCTTTGAAGGGCGATGGCTGGGCGGAAAAGAAAGGGGTTGACGAACTGCTCGGAGACGTTTGGGCGGAGGTGAGTATCTTTCGTCCGGTATACTGCACGTAATCACTGACACATACCTAGTTGGGATATCTCTCGTTGGCCAAGGGATCGCCGTACCTCGCGAGGTCAGACTTTGAAATGGCCCTCACCCACTTCCCAGATCACGCTGCTGCGATCGTGGGCTTGTCCAATATTCTGCTCGATATCTACACCGAGAAGGTCTTGCCGCCGCCGGCAGTTCCGGTGCTGAGCGTGCCAGAAAACATCTCAAGTCTGTCACTGCCAGCGCCAGATCTGCCCAAGATCTCGGTACCGCAGCACGGCCTCCCGTCAGAGCCACTCGGACTGGGCTCCAGTGCGTCGGGCTCAGGCGTCGGCAAGACGAGTGCGCATCAGTCAGCAACGACCGCTTCATCCATCAAGTCTCTGGAAAAGGCAGAGTCGGACGAGAAACTACCTGCGCCGTACAAGGCAGCTTCACTGCCAAAGATTGACCGCCTCGCGGCGCGCGACCGTGCCTACGGTCTCTTGTCGTCGTTGACAAAACTAGGTATCGCCTGGAATAACTCGGAGGCCTGGTTCGCGCTGGCCAGGGCCCACGAGGAGAGCGGCCAGATCGACAAGGCGAAGGAGGTGCTCTGGTGGTGCGTCGAGCTCGAGGAGCACACGGGCGTGAGGGAGTGGCAGTGTCTTGGAAGCGGCGGATACGTGCTCTAATTACTTGTTGTAATCCGACCATCTCTGGTCCTGATTCCTGTCTACCCATTTCTTGGTTTACTATTAAGACATACAACGCACTCCAGTAGAGGCTTGCCGACATCCTGGCGACCCGTGTTCTGTAGCCCTATTCGATATCCGATTACTCTTGGGTGCCTCTGCTCGCCTTCATTCCTGACGCAGCCAACAGTGTATGGTGGAAATCTCGTTGGCTAGGGCTACGCGCCAACCTTCAACGCCAACGGGCCGTTCTGCACTTCTGCAGTCTCGCGGCCCGCCGCGGCCATCTTGCCTGTAGCTACCTAGATCGTAACTTAATCGAGATGCATTGCTCCCACCGGGCCAACGTCAGGAGATTTGTGCGATGGAACCGGGGAATGGGCTCAAGCAAGGCCGGAAACCTCCGCCGGAGGTCGCTCCCGTCGTACGGCAGTATGTGCAACTTCCATGGAAGCCGATATCCGAGCGCAGAATTCGACAATGGAAAAACCTTACTTCTGTACACATGCAGGTAGGTCTATGCACCTGTTCTCGCGCGCGTATGATCGGTCTTGTCAAGGTTTCCCTTTGCCGCTGGCCGCCCCGGTTTCTTGCATGGGTGTCCGTGTCTCTCTAACTCTGAGAAACTCTGGACGGCGTACGGCAGGTAGATTGCGGCGCGACTGAGAAAAAGGACGACAGAAGAGATCTGTGCGACATCCAGGACGTGGGGGCGTCGCCCTGCACAAGTTGATCACCTTCATTTCCGACCGCCTCGCTGCCGGGCTGGGCCGACTTACGGAGGATCTACGTCTCAAGTTGTGTTGTTCAAATGGTTATTTCGAAAAGTTAATGATCTATGCCATACATGACTCATTCCACGAGCTGTCTTGTCCGCTTTCCATTCAGGAGCAGTCCTCCAAACGCCAAGCCAAATTCAGTGGTAACAACCACCTGTAATGTAACAAACTTCGCCCCATGCGCCCTCCATGGCTCGAAATGTGGTCCTTTGCAGATTGAAAGTGAAATTTCTCATACAGAGCAAGGCGCTACCACATCATCAAGTTGGGTGGCAGCTTGGGGTATTCTTCGCCGTCAATCATCTCGGTCCCGAACGGGTAAGCCGAGAGAGCCTCCTCCTCGGAAATCTCCTCCTCGCGTTCGACCAGGCCTCCGTCCTCGTAGATGTCGATTCCTCTCTTCCAGTTGGACTTGCATGTACCCGGAACGTACTTGGCGGCGTCCATAGCCAACGTCAACTTAACCTCCGGGCAGTAGTCCCAAATGTGTTTGCGTAGGGCCGGGGTACCCCAGATGGCGCTGTGTAACCAGATACCGCTGCCACCAGTGTGATATCCCATGGGCTCGTAGTAGCCTTCACGGTAGTCGTCAATGCCGGCAACAAGCTCGCCTTCGGCGGCCGCCTCCAAAGTCGAGTTGGGTCCGTCGTGGTTGATCACGGTACCCGGCCCTGTGTGCATTTCACCGCTGAACATCAAAGAGACGGTACCGTTGGCAACCTTGCTGCCTGGGCGGTGAGCGAGGCGCTCGGCGAGCCAGACGTCCTCGGGTTCGGATCCATCGACACGCTTCTGGTTACGAAGAATATCGATCATGGCGCTGACACGGCGGATGGACAGACCGCCGTTGCCACCCCAGCGACCGCCGGGGTTCCAGGGGGCGCCGATCCAGTCATACTCGAGGTAGTCGTTGATATTCTGCCTGTTGTTGGCGCACAGAATGCTGTCGGTCTGGAAGACGAGCAGCCATTCGGCAGGCTGCAGAACGGTCTCGTAAAGCCACAGGTTGGTGAGGAAGCGGCTGATCATCTCCTGGCCGGCGGTGCTCATGTTGGAGGGAATATAGGTCAGATCCAGCTTGCCAGCGGCGACTTGCTCGCGAATGGCGACAGACTGGTTGATTGACCGGACCGAGTCAATGGAGCCCATGAATCGGAAGCGCCAGTCCGGGGGCACGACAGAGATGAAATGCAGCATCAGAGGCGCCAGGATAGGATTGGGTCGATTCTCGACGAGGAGAGCGACCTTGGAGTGGTTGTATGGTGAATGTGCGTATTCGAGGGTGACCTTTGGGACGGTCATCGTCTTGATCGTGGGTAGCGAGAGCCATACCGACACGCCGCTGTCATTTCTGTCAGTAACTCGTGCGGCGCACGTCCACAGGCGCAGCGAACAGCCCGTGATAATTCAGACGGTGAACTTACAGGAAGAGGACGAAGGCGCCGGCCACTCTCATCCGGCGGCTCGTCAGAGCCCACAGGGAGAGTAGCAGGACCTTGACCTGCTGCTTCACATCGGCCATGTTGGTGTCTGGCTGAGGTGGTAAAGCCATCTTGACAAAAGAGCCAAGACGGCTGGTAAAGAGCGCTGGGAGACGGGTCTCGGCGCGGCAGTTGCAGCGAGGAGATGCTTCTGTCGGAAATTGTGTCGGGGAAGTTGGCGGCCAGACCGGCTGTTGGAGCGGGCGTGTTGGCGATTCGCAGAGCCGTCCGGTCCACAGCGATTACGCAGGTCGATGGCGCGGATGGGCGGTAGCGTGCCAGGGGAGGACTAAGGCATGCCCGGATCCGCGGCCGGGTGGTGATTACGACGACGGCAGCGGATGGCGAATAGACTGGGCTACTCGCGCGGATACCAGCTCATGGCCCGCGATGGAGATGCAGGACAGAGGAGGTGTTGGAGGTTGAGAATGGAAGAAAGAGAGTGAGAGGGAAATAGAAAGCTGGCCAGAAAGCGTGATGTGATAGAGGCGCTGATTCCACTTGCACTAAGATGGCGGCAACTTTCCTGCGGCAGGGCCTCGAACAGCGAACCCGCAATGAATGTAGCTCTTGCCTCCCTTCAAAACGATGCCAGGCTGCTCGTCGAGGGTCGCGGAAGGAAAACTATCTGATGATAAGACACTGCACCCCTTCCCTTCCCCCCCTTACACTTGGCACCTGTCCACGCCAGCCTCCCACGCCTGGGCCAGACAGAGTTGTGCCAGCGAGTTCCAATCAAACAGGCCAGGCCCCGGGTCGTGGAAGTTTCAACCAAAGGGATGGCAAATGGGACGTTTTAGTGGGCTGCTAGTGCCCCCAGACGGCCGAGCCGATTTTCTTCTTTTCCCACACTGGAGCACCCAACCACCGCTCCTCATGCAACTGAGGAGCGAGAGAACTGGAGGTGAAGCGAGCTCCCCTGCAGCCTTTCCACCCCTGGCTGCCGTCGACGACCGCCGAGCCCCTGTCAAACCGCGCAATGCAGCCACTGTAGCAGCATCTAAATCGGTCGAGTACCTGTCAGGTATCACAAAGTATCCCACCGATGGTGACGGCCAAGCGCGATGATGAGGACCCAGGATGCTTTCGCCAGGCCACCTATCCGCACTGCGAGTGCGGTTCCTTCGCCGTCCCCTCCATTATCCTCTGACTTGCAGCTCTCCTCACACGTTTGACCCGGGGTGGGATCCTCCAGATTTAGAATGGAAGGGTTCGATTCGGTGTGTACTATGGCAGGGGAATAAGGAACGAACGGCAGCGGGAAGTCACGCCACCATTCACACTCCAACTCGACGACGTCTTCCAGCTGCTGGATGCCGCAACTGATACGAAGCGCCACGAAGCTGTCGGTCGGTCACAGGATGGCATTTTACGAACGGCGGTCGCGGACAGAATGCAATTTGCGGCGGGCGCAGCGATTTTCGTCTCTTCATCTTGCCCCGCGAACCGATTCGTGAGCGCCGGCGACTTTCGCAACAGCCTCCGAGACTCAGGGTACCTTGCTCTTTACCAAGTACGTGCAGGCCATGGTCGCAATTGCAAACCAACAGTCCCCCGTGCCGCACTCTCGGTATCGCCGGCCGTGTCACCCATTAGCCGGGCCGTATTAAAGCCCAGGGGTACTAATCACAGCGCGTCGCCCAATGCTAGCAGCATGATGGTGTGTTGCGCTGTCTACGGGTAGCATATGGGCTCCCGATAATCGCTTCTTCGAGACGAGTTGTCACAGACTCACGGGAGCCTCGTCAATCGCTTGATCCAACGTCAAATCAATCTCGGTTCCCCAGCTAGTACAACAGACCGAGACCCTGGGCCAAAAAAGACTGGATGCAAGGGCACACAAGGGAGGACCGTGTGTGGTGCTGTCTCAAATTTCTCGAGGCTTCGAAATGATCATCGCTTTTGAGTTTTTCAGACGAAAGGCTATTACATGAACGAACGGCGCCCACACTGATACACTGTGACACCGTCAGCAATTCGCCCGACTGTGATGGCTCATGCAGCCAACGGATGATGCTGTGTCTTGCTGTCTTGGCACCGGAGGCCGATGCGTTGGTTTGCTTCGCTCGCGTACATTGTACGATTCTGTGAATGGGAGGTTTTCTAGGTCGAGTCAAACCCGGCGGGCAAAACCAGTAAGTCACAATAGATGGCCCTTGCTGCACATCGCGAGCCCTGTTTCTCCAGGCTCCAGCCTCGCTCGGTTGGTTCCTCCACACCATGCAGGGAGGACGTGAGATAACAATGTCTTGGCCGTACCCATATCGCCCCTCGGACCCGGAGAAGCTCCAACTTCCTTCTGGAGACGACACGACGGCAGCATTCTTGTTGCTCGCATGGAAAGCGTAGAGCGGAGCGGGCGTTGAAAAGCCGCATCAAATAGACTCACCTCTCGAGATGGAAAAGAAACGGTGTCCTAAAGTCCGCCGCTGTTCTCGGGCGGAAGGCTATCGAGCGCAGCCTGCTCAGAGCTTCAGCTGGGCAGCGCCATTATTACCAGGCACATCATCCGCATATGCAGACGGCCGTCACTGAGGCCTTCATGCAGTGGTGTTGCTGCAGGTTCGACTGTCATCTGGAGTTGCGATAAGCCGTGCACGAATGGGCGGTGGTTCCATATCAGACTGTATGCAAGGTGAGGTTAATTCGAGTAATGATAGTTCGTGGCAATTAAAAGTTGGGGCGATTGAGGAGCTGCAAGATGATTGACGAACCCGTTTGACAGAGGAAATGATCTCAA